TAACTCGGTACTGTCTTTATTATACCGGGTGCGTCCCAAAAGTGGCTCATCCCCATAATTTTTTTATATTTTCAAATAAAAAAAACAAGATTTAGTATGTTAGTACATGACATAGATTAGGATTGATTGACGCATTCAATTGTTTTTGGTCACTTCCTGTTTCACCGGAAATGAATATAACTTTTAATTTTTAAACGGCACCCTTGGTATATTTCTACTTTATTCGATAGAAAATGACACTCTGAATAGCATGAAATATCATATGTCAACTTTTGACATTTTCGCCTATGGTTTAATTGTAATTGTAACACGCGGTTCATAACGACAATTTGACTCGAAATACCAAGTGTGTGGTATCAATATATTCATAAAAAAATGCTTTTTCCAAATATGCTAATGAGTTACCCTTGTTCTATTTGAAAAAATTGACATATGTATGATTAAAAATACGATTTGTACATCTTTTAACCGGCCTAGACAAGACACGAAACCCATTAGACGATCAAAACTATTTTTACAAATCTCCTTGATTAAAACTTAGTGTTTTTAACAACACCATGGCACCCTGGATTGAAATTTAAAATAGGATTTGTTTTTAAGCGACAATGTCAAAAGTTGACATATGATATGTCATTCTATTCAGAGTATCATTTTTTATCGAATAAAGTAGCAATATACCGAGGGTGCCTTTAAAAATCAAAAGATGTAATCATTTCGGTGAAACAGGAAGAGACCAAAAACAATTGAATACGTCAATAAATCCTAATTTATGTCATATACCTACTAACATACAAATCTGTTTTTTTTTTAATCTGAAAAAATAAAAAAGTTATAGGGGGTGAGCCACTTTTGAAACGACCCGGTATATTAAAAAATATTGTTTCATAATATAATATCATTTTAAAATTCTTGTATGTTATTTTAGATTCTGAAGATAATTTTAGAATAAACCGGAATATATTTTTAATAAAAACATTATTAATTATTAACAGGGTTATAATTATGATTTTGTTACAATGTAAGTAAGTAAATAATGTAATGTAAGAGAAAAAATTCAGATTTTACATTTTACTAAAATATTATCTAAATAAGCGCCTTTCTACAACAACGCCACTGACTCCCAATGGGTAAATTGAGAGTTGCCTACCGGTCAAAAGTCGTTTCAAGACTTAAATGGATTATTTAAGTCAAATTTCTTGCAAATTTGGCACTGCCGAACCATATTTTATAGTTCTTGAACAGAAAAAGTCAATAAAATAAAAACTTAAGGACTACAAACTAAGAAAATGCGTTAATACAGCCGGGGAGATAGCGGCAACAAAGCTTTACCGCACACGTGCGACACGTACTACAAGGTAATAAAAGAATGAATAGGCTCCCTCGCCTCTAATCGGTGTTGTCATATTGTAAAGAACTTATCCTATTTAAACAGTATCCGACTTATAATTTAGTAGTATAAGGACTATTTAATACATCTATGGAATATTAAAACCTACTTTATTAAAATCTAGTATTAATATCTCAATATATGTGTATAGCAAGAAAAAAAATATTGATAATATTAAAGACGTGACAACATAGGCTGGATGAGGAAGGCTCGGTCGACTGTACCCAGAAGTAAACATGTGTACAAAAAAGGTTGTTTGTCCGCGTTGAGATGTTAATAGTGTAGTCTATATTTTATTTTAAGTCTATGGTCTTAACGGACCGCTAACGACAAACGGACCGAACTAGGAGTCATTACCAAATAAAAGCTGAATAAGAATAAGTAAGGTTAATAACAGTTAATAAGTTTGGACACAGGGTGTACGGAAAGGTCATGCTAGAGTGTACAATTTGCGCTATTTGATACAACTTTTTGTTCGCGGAGCAATTTCGTAGATGAAAAGTAGTACCAAATAGCGCAAATAGCGTGCTTCACGAACCATTAGTTTCAACTACCGTTAGTTTTTTTATAATACCATTATATCAATATAAGTTTGTGTATAATACCAATTACCAATATGCGGTTTTTTGCCTCGACTTTATTTTATTTCATTTTCAACTCTAAAACACATGATAGAAAAAAAAATGAACACTGGTCAATATTAATGCCGGGTTTATACAACATTTGCATAAGTCGTAATCATAATCACAGTCTTAATCATCGTCATAATCTCAACGCAATTTTAATGTGCGTTTATAGAACATAATTGTGATGAACATAATAATGTACGTTTATAGATAATAATTTTTATATCAGTGAAGTTGGGTAACATAATTAAAGGCTAAGTTCATGGTAGATGTCAACAGATTTATAAGAAGTGGATAGTTTAACTTTCATGATTATGACTATGATTGTGATTACGACTATGTAAACGTTGTATAAACCCGGCATAACTTGCGCAAAGACCTAATTATCACTTTAAAAAAATGTATCATTTTTAAATTTCAAGAAATCTTGAATTCAAGAAATCTTGCAAGACTTTTGAAATTTCTTGCATATTGTTACGTTTTTCGTCGGTTCCGTGTGGATAGAAAGTCACAATTTATTTAAACACTATTTATTTAACACTAATTAACAAAAACAATAACGATAAAAGACTTATAGAACTATTTACAAACGATTTATAACTAAGAATTTATTTTGAATTTTAGCGCGTCAACTGCACTTGTATATTTATAACTGCCCCCTGTAGGCCACTGCCGCCGGCTTTTATACCGACAGGTAAAGAACTCTAGAATTGTCCATAGATCGTTAGGTGCGTAGAGAAGGTTTTCGAATGTTCTCGTATGTACTAGTCCATTCCAGTGGGACTCGATTCTTCTCGAACGAATGAATCATTGCGGTGTCTATGCGATGTTAAGGTCATCCGAGGGCGGGCCATATTGTGAGGTTAGGTCGAGTCCACACCGGCCCGCAACAATATTAAAGTATTGTCTTGTCTTGAAATTCAAGACAAGAAATTTTGAAAGTCTTGTCTTAAATTTCTTGCAAAAGGCTTGGTCTTGCAAGACTTTTTCAAGACTCTTGTGCAACACTAATCCTAGTACATACTTTAAGTTTGCTCTTAAAGAAAATTCCCAAGTTTTTTATTCTAGGAGCTACATGTGCACGACGCATTATTGCCGAACCATGTATAGAATGTACCATTTAAAAAAATTGAGATTTTTTAATTATAGGTAGTTGAAATCTATAAATATATTTTGGCACCCTGTAGCATCTATTTAAAATATCTTTACATAATATATATTTTTCTTCATCTCTATGAAACTCCCATACTAAATTTTGGTAGTCTAACTTCATAAACAATGGCATCACTGACAATTTTTTACCACACTGAGAGAGAGAGAGAGAGAGAGAGAGAGATCTAACATTTTGTTTAAACACATTCAAATATTACAAAAACTATTAATTTTAGATATATACAATTATACAGGGTGTTTCAAAACAAATGCGAAAAACGTCAGGGGGTGATTCCTTGTTCAAAATAAAGGGTAGTTTGCTTTATAAACGTTGGGTCAAAAGTCAACCATTAGGGAGATATCGCGGTACAAAGATGGCGGAAAAATAATGTTTTTATTTTTTATCTTGAAAACGAAAAGAGATAGACTAATGAAATTTTACGGAAGCATTAGTGTTATGAAAACACACTTTCTGGTAATTTTTTCACTTTTTTAAAATGAGTGGAAGGGGTTGAAATAAACTACCCCTATCATTCTTGTTAATGAAATTTAAAGAAAAATCTTATCAAACACATGCAAAAAAAAATTAATTTTGATAGTTTAGTTTATTTAGAAACTTTTTTATCTCTTGTGTTTTTTTGGTAAAACTCACTGATTTGAAATTAAAAATAAAATGTAAAGCATTACATGTCAGGACAAAAAACATTTTTAGATAAAGAATCTAGTGGGCAGTTGTAATTTTTTAGGAAAAAATCTAGTCGGCCGCTGTCACTTTTAGGATGTTTCTAATATTGTTTTATTTGACATTACCCTACTGCAATACGTTATTATCTAGATTATTATTATTATCATTATTATCACTAGATTCTTAATCTAAAAATATTTTTAATCCTGACATGTAATGCTTTACATTTTATTTTTTAATTTCAAATCGGTGAGTTTTATAAAAAAAATACAAGAGATAAAAAAGTTTCTAAACAAACTAAACTATCCAAATTAATTTTTTTGTATGTGTTTGATAAGATTTTTCTTTAAATTTCGTTAACAAGAATGATAGGGGTAGTTTATTTCAACCCCTTCCATTCATTTTAAAAAAGTGAAAAAATTACCAGAAAGTGTGTTTTCATAACAGTAATGCTTCCATAAAATTTCATTAGTCTATCTCTTTTCGTTTTCAAGATAAAAAATAAAGAACATTATTTTTCCGCCATCTTTGTACCGCGATATCTCCCTAATGGTTGACTTTTGACCCAACGTTTATGAAGCAAACTACCCTTTATTTTGAACAAGAAATCACTCCCTGAAGTTTTTCGCATTTGTTTTGAAACACCCTGTATATAGAAAAGTTTTTTTACGCAGAATCTAAAAATAAAATAAAAATAGGGTGTTGCATTTAAAAAAAAACATATGTTATATCCGCCGCACTTTTTTGAAACATTCTGTATACACTGTAATCATTTTAAATGTGCATCTTAACCATTTCTATAACTTTTATATTGACATTTTTCTTGTAAACCTCGAAACAAATGAGATATTGAACTTTACTCTATCGTTGACTCACCCTGTACATACAGGAATAAAAATCGCACTGGTCACTTTTGTCTGAAACCCAAACCTGTTCCTGTTCCGTCCTTGTCCAACGTCCATCCTGATGTCCGGTAGTTCTTCCATCGTGAGAAACAGTCGAAGGAGCGAAAAGGGGTGCAAACCTGCCCTCGATTGTCCACATACAGCGGTCAAGCAACAATAAATCGCAACCCTCAACTTGTTTTTCTAGTTTCTCTGGCGATATATGGTAATTTTTCGATCGGCAGCCAGTTTGAAAATCTGTCTTTAGTCCGGCTTTGAATTTAGAATCGAGAACATCATCGAAACAGGACGGGACAGTCGAAATTCAAGTAGTTCAATCAAAATGTGATTTGTTACGTTTTTATACGAGTTTGGCGATATCTTCATTAGCATAAAATATGGGTAAGCATTAGTTATTGTATTAGAGTTATCCAACTCTTCACACTATACTCGTAATCTCTCCAATGACAAAACCCTTGAAAGTGATTGTCATTTTCTGTCATTTAATTCTTTAATTTCGAAGTATTTTATTTTATTTTACAAATGAATAAATTGGTACAATTTGAAATTAATATATTTTTATAATTTTTGTGAAACATGATTTCTTCAAAATATTATGAAAAAAAAAATATAATCAAGTTATTTTATTTCAAAAAAAATATATGTTAAGGTGTGTGTTAATAAAAACACCATACTGAGACTGGATGTGTTTCAAAAGTGGCTCACCCCTATAACTTTTTTATTTTCCAGATAAATCGAAATTTGGTATGCTAATTTTTGACATTTATTAGGATTGATTGACGTATTATATTGTTTTTGGTCACTTCCTGTTTCACCGGAAATGACTACCACTTTTGATTTTTAAATGGCACCCTCAGTATTTTGTTACTTTATTCGATAGAAAATAACACAATGAATAAAATGACATATCATGTGTCAACTTTTGACATTTCCGAATATAGTTTATTTGAAATTGTAACATGCGGTTCATAACGTCGACAATTTGACTCGAAATACCAAGTGTGTGGTACCAAATTATTCGTAAAAAAATGCTTTTTCCAAATATGCTAATGAGCCAGCCTCGTTCCATTTGAAAAAATTGAGATATGATTAAAAATACGATTTGGGCATATTTTAACCAGCCAGAAGAAGGCACTAAAAACATTGGATAACCAAATCTATTTTTCCAAAGTTCCTTGATTAAACATTATCGTTTTTAACACAGCCATGACACTCTATAGATTGTTGACATTAGAAAAGTTGACATATGATATGTCAATATATTGTCAGAGTGTCATTTTCTATCGAATAAAGCGAAAAAATACCGAGAGTGCCATTTAAAAATCAGAAGTTGTAGTCATGTTGTAGTCAATGTTGTAGTTCGCTGAAACAGGAAGTGACCAAAAATAATTGAATACATCAATGAATCCTAATTTATGTCATATGTTAACATACCAAATCTCGTTTTTTTATATGAAAAAATAAAAAAGTTATAGGGGATGAGCCACTTTTGAGATGCACCCGGTAAATAGACAAATAAAAAAGTTTTAATATTGTATAACACAAATAAAACAATTTTTTTTTATTAATAGTAATTTCAAAAATTTACAGACAAATTTATAACACTTTTTGAATGTTACCTTAAAAGTTGGTTTATTAACTTTAATGCTAATTTTTTTTAAACGATTTCCAATGACAATTTTTTCCAAATGACTGACATTACCACCATAAATACATGTTTTATACACCAAAGGTATTCAAACGCCTTCAAAATAGGATATAGGGATTTTCTTAAATATCTAGCCAAAGCTATTGCAAATCCAATTATCAAAAAAAGGTTACTTAATGAAAAAATACCAAGAAAACTAAGACTTTGGACCAATATTGAAAGGCACTATAGTATGCACAACAGCTGAAGAGGAAGTCTTTGGTCTAGGTGCTCGTACAAAATAAAAAGAAACACCTAGTATCTCTGTACAGTTTGTAAAAACAACAATTGGTCTACAGTGTTTAAGAAAAAGTACGTTTAAACTGCTGCGAGTACAAAAATATATGAAAATGTCACTTTTTTATATTTACTATATGTATTTTTTTAAATAACGTTTGATTACAGATTCATAATAGTTTCTATATTGTGTATATGTTGGAGGCCGATGCCGAATTCGGCCTATGAACGAAATAATTAGACATATGGCGATTATAATTAAATATACCTACCTATATCCACAAAGTTACGCGGAAGAGTTTTGATTGCATTGGTTTCAACTTCTATGCGGAAGGTGTTATTTTTTGTTGTTATATTATACCAAAAAAAGATTAACCCCCTCCGCAAAGAAGTTATATAAAGACTATTCATAACTACGAAGTTGCACGCATCTGGCAGGTTTAGTATGGACAAATCGCCGTATGTCTAATTATTTCGGACATAGTCCGAATTCGGCATCTGCCTTCAACATATACATATATTTTAACTCAATCATGTAAACTGAGATACAAAAACATTTAATTTTCTACCAGACTACTCTGTGTAGCCGTTGAGGGTTAAGACTCACCCTGTATATCTTTGAAAATCCTTTAGCAAAATTCCACACAATCTTAAGTGTTTTCTCTTGACGCCTGGCGGGAAATTTTAATAACATTTAACCGGGAATCAGCGATTTCCTATAAGGATCTAACGCAAATTGATTAAATTTCCCTGTAACCCCTTCGCAGCCTAATCACGTTAGAAATTAATTTTAATTTAATATCAACCGCCGAATTTTGTGCGAGGGGTTCAGTTCTGGAAAGACACTCATTATTGTACGATTTTCTCTCAATGGCGATGAAATTTCGGTTGGAAAGCTTGATAGTGGGAGGGGGGGGGGGTAGAAGGAACAGGTAACGTTTGGTACAGGAAATCTCATTCACTTGTATACAGGGTGTCCCAGGATGAGCGTGCCTTAGAAGTTTCTAGAACCACAATATCTAGATCGGAGATTTTTTGCACTTCATGTACAGGGTGGGGTCAAATTCGGCGCTTTTAAATGGAAACACCCTTTTCTATAGGAGATAGACGAAAACTAATATCGGTGTCTGGAGCTCAATTTTCATCAAAAACATGATGGTGAAAACCGCAAATCAATATCTGTTACCGTTTCGGAGTTACGGGGTGTTTTTCAAAAATGTGCATTTTTAACAAATCTCTGTAACTTTTTTGCTATGGAAAATTTTGTATTTCTATTAAAACATTTCCAAAGCACCTTTTTACGTAGAATTTAATGGTTTAGGTATAATTTTTTTAAAATTAATAATTTAAGAGTTATCAACAGAAAAATTGATTTTTTATTTGGGACATCCTCTATATTTTTAATTAACTGAAAAGAATTTAAAATTACCTTTCCAAAAATATAGCACACTTGATATTTTGTTATAATCCCCTTCGAAATACCGGAATTTTTAAAAGTTCACCACTTTTAACTAGTTGGCTTTGGACCCCTTATTGATGATATGCCCTTAATGGAACTCGAAAACATATTTTTCCAGCAAGACGACGCACCGCCTCTGAACGCTGAAGTTATCAGCAAATTTTTGCAGCCAATTTCAAGAATAATTGAATAGCTAACCTAGATCCCAGGCGTTGGCCGTCGGGGCCGCCTGACTTAGTGCCCATGGATCTTATCCTATGGATATATTTGCGGAAGAATAAAGGTTCCTTATTCTTCCGTATAATCTAGACAAGAATTAGAAATACTTAGCAGTCATGAGAGAGTATCTTTCACCCCCAATGAGTTAATGAATTCCTAGAGAAATGTCAAAAACTGCTTCGTCTGTCCATAACAGAAGACGGTCGATATGTCGAACACCTGTAGCAAAATTTCATGTCTTGGTTTGCTATTTATTTTTATTGTTATTAGATATAGTTTAAATGTGTTGATGTTGGTTAAATATATTTTAAATTATTATAAAATTCTCCATCTCTCATAGCAAATATTATTTTCGTTTTAATTGATGCTCACAGCTAGAATTTTTTTGCATTACAGCCGGTGCCGTTCAAAGCCTACTTATTTAAAGCGGCCGATTTTTTATATACTCTATATCTCGAAGAAGAATCGAGCAAAATATCAAGTGTGTTATATTTTTGGAAAGTCAATTTCAAATTCTTTTCAATAAATTAAAATTATACAGGGTGTTCCATATAAAAAAACAAATTTTCTGTTGATAATTCTTAAATTGTTAATTTTAAAAAAAATATACTTAAACCATTAAATTCTACGTAAAAAGGCGCTTTAGAAATGTTTTCATAAAAATACAAAATTTTCCATAGCAAAAAAGTTACAGCGATTTGTTAAAAATGCATATTTTTGAAAAACACCCCGTAACTCCGAAACGGTAACAGATATTGATATACGGTTTTCACCATCATGTTTTTGACAAAAATTGAGCCCCAGACACCGATATTAGTTTTTGTCTATCTCCTATAGAAAAGGGTGTTTCCATTTAAAAGCGTCGAATTTGACCCACCCTGTACATTATTTGCACGTTTTACAACGAGATCTATCGATTAAAAATATTTTCAATATGGTGGCACTTCCGGAAATACCGGAAGTTGACAGCAACTTTCTTATTTTAAATGGGTGCCCACATTTTTTTATTACATTCTTAAATTCTCTGTAAAATTCTATGAATATTGATGTTAAACACTTTATACCTAACATTATCCGTTTTTGAGGAAAAAAAATATTTTATATTTTTGTCAAAAAAATTTGTATAGCCCAAAAGTCAAATTTAGTGATTACCACAGCCACTGTGGTACAAAGAGAAGGCATGTAGCTATCTGTTTCAAAAATTAAATTGTTCAAATGTCATATAATAATGACGGTAGCTGTCATGGAATTGAGGGATTATAAAATTATCATAAATCATTTTTTTTCCAAATGGAACCCACTTTTTTTATTTCACTAATGAAAAGGTTTTCCAATTCGTTACTTTTTGAGTATACATGTTCCTATATCTAAAATAAATCGTTTTTAAGTTATTTAAAATTTAGTTTGAAAACGTATATTTTTCTTGATTTTATCTAGCTTCCTTTGACATTAAGTGTCAAACCATGGTACAAATAAAACAAGGTATGATCGATAGCGGCTCCAATTTCGTTAAGTTTGCGCATACCACCTGTGACGTCATACACCATACAAAAAAATATCCATATTGTTCAATTGCCACTAATAAAAAAAGACCTAAAATAGGGAAGAATTAGGACATAACCCCAAAAGTTATGTCAATCATCGAGCTTGACATTTGAAAAATTATTTTCACATTTATTGTGTCATCTGTTTGACAATTTTTTGACAATTTGAAATTGGCGCGCGGAACTTGCTGACCAATGGTGCCGTTTATCACCTGTGACGTAGTGACCAACCTGC